AGCCAGCGACTAACCGCTTGATCTATGGCCCGGCCAGGCGTTTTACTTACTACATATTGTACATCTTGAAGCTGTAGCAGCAATAGCTGAGTCGCTGTCACTGGATACAGTATGGACGAAATAATTTCTCTTCGCCACCCCGCACAGATTGTCCGTCTAACTTATCCAGCTTTCTCTTTCGATAAATATCGAGGAATCTTTGTCCAGGAGTAAAGCGATCGTGAGCTGAAGCTGACTGTTCTCTTCCATCCGGTCCTAGCTATGCCTCTGTCCCACGATACGTTTTCATGGGGTCGTATGTAATTTAATTCGATGTTATGGATATTAGGATACTAACCAGATATTGATAACCACGTACCAAAGTGCCAACATTTTTAACTTCTAAATAATAAAAGTAACTTGTCTGCAATTGCGCCACCCTCGAGTCTAATGCAGTGGTCAAGTTATAAGTTTGACCCTCAAGTAGGAACATGGCAGCGGCTGCTGACCTAGACCCGCTTTACTTGGTGAACTTCTCCTCCCCCGACCTCTGGTCGCAATCACAGCTTGAAATCTGCCGCGAAAGAAGCAGAGGCACGCAGGAATAGCATTTAGTAGCCCTTCCCCTCATAGCAGGATACTCCAGTGGAGTGCAAAGTGTTCCTTGCTACGAGTATTTTGCATGCATAATTGAACTTAAATTTCTGCTGCTGTTTTTGTATCATGTGAAATCATATGGGAGGTCGTGTTCTTTTGTTTTCCCGCCCGAATCTTTCGTCTTCGAAATTATTCAATAGATTCTGAATGCATGTACAGTCGTCGGAGAGTTTGTATTTGATTCAGAGCAGTTCAACAGAACAGCAACTTCACCTGAAGAAAATGTCAGATTTTAACTATCTTATAAACTTTAATTATAAATTGAAATAGTTAGGAAAAAGTCAGACTTTTCGGAGTATTAGGGCCTAGGAGCAAGGTAAGCGAGAATACAACAGAAGCAGTTGATTCAGAGCAGTTCAACAGAACAGCAACTTCACCTGAAGAAAATGTCAGATTTTAACTATCTTATAAACTTTAATTATAAATTGAAATAGTTAGGAAAAAGTCAGACTTTTCGGAGTATTAGGGCCTAGGAGCAAGGTAAGCGAGAATACAACAGAAGCAGACGGAGAGCTGAACTCAGAATCCTCCAGTCCGACGTTCAAGTACGAAGATAGTACCAACACTAAAGAGTCGTATATTCTTTTCATCCACACAAAGAACACTGTCGAAATGAAACACTCCCATGGTGCAATTGCACCACTGTTATACGCTGCCAGAACCACAGAATCAGAAATCATTCACTCAGAATTACTTGGTTTTTGGCCTTTTTCCTTCGCCCGGTATTCTATAGACTAGGAAACATGACGTTTCGGAAATGGGGCCTGTTTCCGTTCTCATTTGAGGAAGGAAGACACCTACTCATTCGGGTCTCTTAGGAAGATGTAACCTCCATCCAGTGATCCAGTGACTGATGTTAGCTCTTTCTAATGGATCCAAATGAGTAGGTGTCTTCCTCTCTCACCTGAGGACGGAAACAGATCCCTTTTCCGAAACGTTGTGTTTTCTAGTCTCTAGAATACCGATTGATGGACAAAGTACAAAAATTCAATAATTCTGAGTGTTATACACCATCATCAGAACTCCTCAGAATGTAGAAATCTTTCATTTTTACTGCACACAAACTTATTTCAATTACACATTTTGTATGAATGTTTACCACAAATTTGAACATTAAGGTGTACGTGGTAATGTAATGAGGAACGATAGGACTCTACAGTCTAGATTATAAAATTTTCCAAATATTTCCGTTTCGATTTTACGTCCCATATTGGATTTGTTGTTAATTTAAATCTATTAGAAACGGTTGCGAGAAAAAGTGGTCTAAAGGGGAGGCGCTCTGTGTTTAAAAGACTCGTAAGTTACGTTGCTGGAGGGCCATGCCATAGCTCAAGCTTTTAGTCGCTGGCTACACACAGCAGCGGCCCGGATTCGATCCCGGGTCTGGTAAAGTGGGATTTGTGGTGGACAAAATGGCGCTGGGGCAAGTTTTCTCCGAGTACTTCGGTTTCCCCTGCCAATCTTCATTCCACCAATTGCTCCACAATCACCCTCATCTATCATCTGGGGCTGGAACAATAGGCCAGAAGTAGCCGCAGTACAAAGGACTTAGTCCCACCCCACTAGCAATAAAAAAATACGTTGCTGGAAAACATAATTCACAAATGTCGCAGGGGATGAAAGACTAAATTTCGCCGTATATTCCCTGAGACATATGAATAGAAAATATTTCAAATAATAAGGTAATAGTAAATAACGGGAAAAAAAAGACTGGTAGAAAGAAAGAAAAAAGTACAAAAAGGAATGAAGACGGAAGAGAAAAAAAGATAAACGAATGCAGGAAGAGTATTTTATCATAAATTAAGAGTGATGTAAGGGGAAGTGGTCTTGCCAATTCAGATCGAAACCCAGGATTTGTCTGTAGCAACTCAGTGCAGACCCTACTTCCACCGCAAGGCCCTGTGTTACGGCTACAGCTCCACCCTCTCTAAAACATAAGTGTCATGAAGAGATCAGGTTTGCTATCAGTAATACAATATGACCTGAGTAACCTATAGTGTTCATATAGCGGAGGGTGTTAGGAGCCGAAACTTGGAAATGGTGGTGAATGTAAAGAATGCACCTTCTTTTCATTGTTCTTTCGTCATAATGAGCATTCTATTACAGTCAGATATTACGATGGAAGTAATAGTACCCCTAGGCCCATGAGTTGGTAGAAATTCCTCCCCTCCCACATATCGTTTAGGTTTAGTTCATTCACATAAAGAGTAATGGAAAATATGAATAGATGTAGAGATAAACTGGATTAATGAAGATAAAGCGTCAGGCGACACGCTGAAATGGTTTGTGCCATCAGTCACTGGTCTAGGCTCATGCAGTCCGACATCAGTTGGTCTTCTGTATGTACACAACTGCACGGAGTCACAGATTCTCTGAACACGCATCAGGAAAAATATGTCAAGGTGAAATGTAACAGATTTCACAACGAAACGTTTAGCTGCATTACTGAACATATTGGTAGAGCTCCTAACACGAATTTTAAAAAATACGTCTACTGTTTTCGAATCTCTTTCAGGCTACCTTTTAAGCGCTGATATCATATCGCTCGCTCATGGAGCTGAGCCTTTCTTGAGAAGCCGCCAATTGTGTAGCTACTCAAGAACTTCCCAGAATTTTATGGAGCATTTTATGCATGAACATGTGGCTGAAGTCTGCAGCCACATGCTCACTTTAGTTCCTCACTCGCGGATTTTCTATCCTGAAGATGGAGGCGATACGTTCTTCCGAAAATTACGTTCACACAAAATCTACATCGCGCCACATCCCAGAAGACGGCATTTTTCATCTTCTAATTTCATTCGACCACATATGACCTGTTCAGCTCGAAGTTTTTCGCCAAATAACCTAAGACTGAACGAGTTCGCCTTTACCATGATATAGTCATTGGAAGCTACAAATGTTTGCAGCTGATACAGCGGCATTAAAAAACTACTTTATTTACGCGTCGTATAGTTTACGCAGCATGTTATAGGGTTTTAAAAGGTGCACTGCCCCCCTGCTCTCTTGTCCCACTGTAGTTTATGTTTTCAAGGAATGTATTTAATATCATCTTCATTTACGACCCTCTTTTCTCCAAACGTTAGTCTGTACCAGTGACATGCATCGATTTGTACGTTTTGGTCAGCTCCCCACTGCGCTCAAAATATTTTCAATTTCATTCTCGTATTCAGACCCGGAATACCATAGGCGGCATAGCGACGGGCTACGGGCTGGAAGACCGGGAGGTCGGAGTTCGAGTCCCGGTAGGGTCAAGAATTTTCTTTTCTCCACGTCGTCTAGCCCGGCTCTGGGGCCCACAAGCTTCATATCCAATTGGTACCTGGAGCCCTTTTCCCGGGGGTAAAAAGGCCGGAGCGTAAAGCTGAACACTCACCTCCATCTAGTACCGAGGCCAAGAATAATGGAACTATACTTTCACTCCCCCCATACGTCTTTATGACGTAAAGTACAGGGACACCTTTACCTGTTTACTTTCTCTACCTTTTAACTGAATAAAATTTTATACATCATTGGCTGTTTTGTAGTGACGGTACCATATGAAAAATCTGTCAAATAAAAGGCACAAGAGGAAGTTTATATATAGTAGTTTATATTGTTATTATTATTATTATTATTATTATTATTATTATTATTATTATTGGCTCAGTACATAAATAATAAAGAATTAAATTGAATTATTATTATTTGTCATCTCTTGCAAACTGTTCTTTTTCGAGTTCGTGCTCGGTATATCAGAGACACTTCTTTTTCAATGTCCACTCCTCAAGTAGAAAATAGTCCCTCCGTTATATGTGCTTCAGATGCTCATGTTGTTTGCAATGAAGCTGGCGAGTTGACTGCTGGTGCAATTGCTCTTACTGAATTTGTATTATTTCCTACATGACACAAGTTGCCTTGTTTTGGCTCTTGTCTTTGTTCGTGTGTATGTACTTCTTTTCTTTTTTTTTTGTCCATATTCGTCCTTACTGTATTACTGGGCCGGTCACGGTAGCTGAGCTGTCTGAGGCACTTACTGTTTCTCTTGCACGGAAGCCGGTATCATAGGTTCGAATCCCACACAAGACATGAATATTTGATATGTGTATTAGTTTATTCTGTGTTTGTGTCATCCTTTGTTTACGTAGAGGCCTTGCAACGAGCTGATCACTCGTCCAAGGAATCCTACCGTCTGTATAACGATCAAAATGAAAAAACAACCTCGACACCGAAAGGTATAAGAGGAACTTCTTAAATAAGTAAGTCAACTGTATAATTGGTCTTTGGGCTGTTGAATAAGCACGTAACTAAATAAGGAATTGCAATGAATTGAATTGTTATTAGCGCTGTTGCGGCGCCGTGTTAATGTTGCTGGTGCGTCCTTACAGGTGACTGGGATGACCCCACTGATGTACGCTGTGAAAGACAACAGGGCCGCGCTACTGGACAGAATGGTCGAGCTGGGAGGGGACGTGTGTGCAAGAAACAATGTAAGTACAGCCCACATGCAGTACTTTGACATATGCTCTACCCGCTCACGAGCACAAACAGTTCGTTAGAGATTTAACTGGGTTTAAATGTGTTCGTGTACATCAGAGGGAGGTTATGTTTTGAATGTATACAATGTTTCAGAAGTCGCCTCTGCTCTCGTCTGCAAGATTGCTATTGGTTATCATATCGACCACATTATTATAGTTTGTTTCCAGCCTACTTTCCCTTCTCAAGGGAAAAAAGTGGCATAAGGTATCACCATATTATCTAAAAAAAAACGGTTTCTGGGATATGACTCCATGAAGTCTGGTAGAAGTTTACCGATGTTGCGGAGAAGCGTGTTATTTCTATCTTCAGAGTCGATCTTGAAGAAGGGAGGCAATACACTGGCAAACTTCTACCAGAATACACGGCGTCCCTTTCCACATTATAATGCATTTTATATTCACTGTCGTGAGAAACTCAAATCTCGCACATGTTCTATATACGCCCTCTATTTCAACTTTTGAACAAATTGATTAATTTTTATCAAATTCGGTATAGATATTATACCAACCTCATACTTCATAATTTCCTGTCATCAGAAATTAAAATGTTTTTCAACCACTTCATCCTTTATAAGGTCCTGAAGTTATATATAGAAACAAAGAATATTCCACTTCTGTTACGGTACTATATTTGTACATGGCAACAACAACGTATCGACAATGGGAAATTTGAACCTGGGTTTTTAATTTGACAGCAAGAACTGCTAGCGGATCGCTGGACTTGGAAATGCAATTTTTTATGAAGATGTGATAATTATTCCTACAAATTACATGTAAACTACAGATAATGAGTCAACAATTACGTGTATTACGAAAATGAGAAATTTTTAATTTACATTTAGCCCTTTAAATCCCATCCGTTTTAAAGTACAAAAATTTTATTCCCGCTGACGAACTGTATTTGTATGTTCCATAGGATTCTCACAATATACAGCAATTTATTCTCTACATAGCATTAACTAGTTGATATTTGTAACGGAGAAGTAATTTGTTTCATGTGAGGTACAAATTGATCTTTTATATTATTAAGAAAAATGACACTTTCCAAAGGTTTAATGGAGACAGTCTGTACCTTAGTAACGAGTTCACTCCAAATCTAAAGCAACAGGAACGAATAAAGCTTTTCCTGAAACTTTAATTCGACTGTATTGCCGGTAGGGACAGCAATTTCTCTGTCAAGACTAGTTCTGTCTACTTATTTTCATATCAGATATGAACAAGGGACAGTTCCCATCTCACCTTCAACTGGTTACCTGAGTGAAGAATAATTCTTCTTATGTCTTCATGTTGTCAGGCTTAATTAATAATGAGGACAAGTTACTCTTTTTTTTCCTTGGCACTACAGCCCCTTTGGGCCTAGGCCTTCCTCCATGAACTTCTCCGAGCCTACTTCTTACTTTACTTTATTTCCATCTTCGAAACGCCGGATTGCGCAATCCAAGCAGAAAGAGTCGGGGATTTTTCCGTGCGACGGTTGTCAGAAGTGACCCGTGAGTAATGAGATGCACGCCCACGGGGTGACATGCAACCATGAATCATGGGTTTGAACCCAAATGGTGCAATACCGACGCAATTAAAAAACTTTATTATTTCTTGTGGCTTGTTTAACGACGCCGTTATTTTCTACATCATATACCGTCGAATTGTAGGATGTTTTGTGAATAACGAATTTGGAAGCGTATAGAAAGAAGCAGACATAGCCCAATTGAGATAGTATCTCGGGGTTTGCCTCAAGTAACTGAGAACAAAGAGAACCTCAGCGAATATAGCCTTCTTCTCTGTCGAGGTTTTAACCGACAGCCTATTGAATATTATCACGACTTAGGGGTTGTGTGTTTCTGTGTAACCAGCTGTGTCCGAGATGAAACCAAGGTTTTCAAGACCAGGATGTCACAATGTTTTGATTGGTCAGGGCTGCCAAACCCTTCAAATGGCTGTGAAAGGTGAACATGGGACAAGGGTGATTAATGAAGTACAAAAATTAAAAAAGTAACCTGTAATATTGTTGTGAAGGAGGAGAAGTTGTTATGAATAGGAGGATGAATTGAAATTCGAGTTACTTTTCATTATATTACAACGCTATATCAACTTTTCAAATTTATGTCAAAAGAGATGTAGCAGGAAGATTGTGAATAGGGGTACATATGGGAGTGACAGACTATGGTCTATTTTAAAGGGCTGTCCTCTCATATTCCTGTAGAAAATTAAAAAGAACTCAAGTTAGCGGGTCCCCTGAGAGGATTACAAGTAGGTACCTCCCGGATTTGACTACTAGGCAATGCTTCTTCCGAAAGTTGCGAATTAATATAGGCCATGAAACGTTAATACAGGTGACTGTAAGAAAACATAAGCGACATAAACGCGTTAATATAGGAGGAAGCAAGTTCTAAAGAATTTCTACCAAACTCAACTTGAAGGCTACAGGGCTGTTCAGTGTAGTCTCTGGTGTCATGCAAACTAAATTTTCACTTGTCACAAAAATTTGGAGCATTTGGGCCATTTCCTGTGCCAGTTCATTCCGCACCCGCACACCCCATTTCTCTAAGATCCGTTTTAATTTTATCGTGTCATAAATGTATAGGTTTACTTAATGCCTTCAACAATTTAGCTTCTTTGACAAACCTTTTTTTTTTCAGTTTCATGTTAGTCTCTGTGAAGCACATTTTTATGTATTTATTCTACACCTCTGCTATTGCTTAGGTTCAAATATTCTCCTTGGGATTCAGCTCTCAAACGCATTCAATCTGCTATTTTCCTTACAGCGAGAGATCAGCATTCAGACCTATATAGAGCAATACGCGTTCTTACAAATTCACGCAGTTCATCCTCCATACTTTTAGGGAACTTCCGAGAAAACAAACGATTCTGATTGTAGTTGCAGGAAGCATTTCCCAAATTTATTCATTTAAATTAATTATGAATATCGTTTTAGCCTACTTTCCTTATATCGAAAAATAAAAGCAGGTTTACGTAATCTCCTTTCTGTCTATCTTCCTCTATCAACTTTTGAATTCCTGAATCAATCGTTATGAAAATTTATACGTATATCATGGAATCTCAGTCAGTCTCAGCGACCTACATCGTAAATCCCTCCGATCTGTGTGTCTGTAAGTGAATCCTCCTTTCGTTGTTGGGCAACGGCTCCGTAAACACATTCCTGCGGCAACGAACACACACGCAACAATGGAAGAATAGTTGGACGCATGGTTTTCAATATGACTCATGTTGTATCAAAGGAAATTTTTAAGTCTGTCTGTGTGTACATGTACCGACGAAGCGGTGGTCTGAAGGTTCCCAGAACCGGGAGTCATGAGTCCCTTGGGACTCGGAAACAGGAGTCAGTGTGCTGGCAGCAGCAATTTGCTGGATTGGATTGGACTCGTCTGTGTATCCCTTCATCGCTTTTAGGCAGCAACTGAGTAAAGATTTTCCTACGGCAACAAAGAATTTTTGGAGGCGTCGTTTTTTGTGCAGTCCGTGTCGAATTAAAGGAAAGTAGCCGACTAGTTATTTCCAGAGCTTCCTGTTATCTATCATTTTCAATTCGTAAGGTCCCTACCTCTAAAGCGATAGCAATAACGGCAAGCCTACACGCAAATGTCGCGTTTTCTAGAGCTTCCCGTGTTCTACCGCTTTTTTCTATTGGCCTAAAGATAACATTACCGTATCTAAGGGGCCCCACCATCTTCTGAATAAGGTTCAGAAAATGGTATTCGAGTGGGACTGTAGAATCAACAGAAAGAAGCCTGCCTTCTGGATGATTTAAAGTTAACTTGTGCTATCAGTCCGTTCTGCGTTATCTGCAAGACTCAAGTACTACATTGTGCCCCCGAGTCGACATAAATTTAGAGCAAGTGAGGGCGACACAGCATGTTGTAGACATTGGGATTACTGCCTCGGAACAGGACTAACAGGATGTAAAATAATAATAGTTCCATTTTCTTTTCAGCACAGTATTCCTTCATCTTTTTTCACTTGCATAATCCCCGTGCAGTAGCACAAGGCTTAATTGTTATCTCTATTTCACGTACGTTATGAATCGAATGACGGAATTCCGTGAAACTTAACTTGAACTTTACGCCACTACAGGGCTCAGCTGATATCCTACCATTAATATGACCAAAGTGGAGGTCGTGCCAACTTTTGATATTGGATCAACAATAGCTGAACTTAATTTAGAATCCTGAAATTTCTTGAGGAAAAACATTTGGAAAATGTGAAAATTATCTTCAGGGTTATTGTTATTTGTAAAGCAACAGGACCGCCACCCGTTATCTGTGTTGAGATTCCGTGCAACGACGAGAACTAATACAAGTGTGAAAATAGTTATGCAAAATTCTGAAAAAGATGGGGAATATTCATACCTATAAATGTAATGTGATTATTTGTATATATTAAAAATTACAACTATGGCGAATGTGCGAAACTTCAAGGTTATATATACCAGTTTTCTCACAGTCGGAATTTTCGAGTGTAGAAAATGTGCACAGGAATATATCACTGTATTATCTAATTATTAATTTACATAATTACCTCCTGATAACCATAAAAAACGAAGCATTTAAAGGAAAGTAAGTGTAATAAAATCGGTCACGGTAGCCGAGCGGTCTAAGAGTTGTACTGCCTTCGCTCGCTCTGAAGCCGCGAACATGGGTTCGAATCCCACACAAGACACGGATGTTTGGTGTTTGTATGCATTTATCCTGTGTTTGTGTTGTCCTGTATTTAGGTAGAGGCTTTGCGACGAGCTGATCACCCGTCCAAGGAGTCCTACCATCTGTAAAAATTATCCTGAATCTGAGAAACCAGGCCTATGTTCCAAAGTGGGAACAAAACTCCGTGGCCTGTAGTCCGCAAGCGAACTATAGCGACCGAGTTACCTCCGCTTGTCGGCGAAGTTAGTGCCAATTTTAGCGGATAGAGGGTGTCGCGTGGTCAGCGCATGTAATAAG